GCCACCCATTGCACGAACCATGGCTCTTTTTCGGATCAAGACTTCTTGTTGGGAAAGAATGACATACTCCTTTTGCGCCGCATTGAGGTTAGTTGTGTCCAAGAAGAACAAGTGCTTCTCCCATTCCAACAATCTAGTTCGCTCCTCATTGCTCACCTTCCTCTCCTCCAAAGCCACCTTCCTCTCGTCGGCCGCCACCCTCCTCTCCTCGGCCACCAACCTTCTCTCCTCGGCCGCGGCATCTTGGGTCCTTGCCATTTTCCTCACCTCGTTGGCTTCTTTTCTTGCCTTCACAATAGCTTCCATAGCATTTTTGAGCTCATCATCTCCTTTCCTCTTCTTCTTTTCGGTTTTGTCTTTCTTGCACCCATCCGGCCGCTTTGGCTTCGAGTATGAAACCGAGTTGGGTGTGGGGCTTCTCTTGCCATCATCACTTGATGCATCATCCTCATCATCATCATCATCCAACTTAATTGTTCGCTTCCGTTTATCGCTCAAATGCAAATCATCCAAATCTTCACGCTTCTTCCATTTCTCATCATCCTTCAACACATCATAGCAATGAGGCAAAGTAAATACCCTTTCTTTCTTGATCTTCCCCTTCTTGGTTTTCCTCTCCTCTTCTTTGAACAAGTTTTGCGCAATGTTGTACTACATGAAAACAAAGCAAGTTAGCAGCAACAACAAGCAAAACAAAGCAAGTTTAGCACCAACATGTAAGATGAAATGGCACTTACTCTATCATCCTCATTTGTGCCACTTGGGTTCAACTTGTCAACTGCCTTTTGACAGGCCGCCCACCTTTGACAATCCGAGTTGATTGTCGACCATCGGGACCTAAGTGATCGGTTGGAGCTGTCAATTCCACTCACGTTGCGAGCATCAAAGTGTTCCTTCATCCGGTTCCAATAAGCATCTCTACTTTGATAACCTCCAACGGATGGATCCCTCGACACTTTCAACCAAGTATTGCATAGTAAGATGTCATCGGCGTTGGTGTAATTGCCCGCTCTTCCTTTCGGTGCGTCGACAATGCCCTCACCCTCCTCGTCCACCTCAAACTCATGGTCTTCAAAATGCATGTCATTGGTTTGAGACCAATGCAAATTGTTGGAGCCAACACCCATCGTTGACATGTATGCATCATCATTGAGACTACAATTTTTTTTGCACAATGTAAATAAGCTATCTATATGTGACGAATGCATTCAAAAAATAACAAAAAAAATGAAAAGTTAGAATTTTTTTTACCTTGGAGGCATTTCATCAAACATGTTGTGCGCGCCGGCCGCCGGCTCAACGAGTGAGCTTGCCGGCGCTTTGGCAGCCGCCGCGCCCGTTGCACGCCCCGCAAGCTTCTTCCTCTTCGCCTTGGAGGTGTCGGAGCCGTCCGCTGCCTTGTTTTTCTTCACCGATGTCTTGCCCTTCTTTGGCCGCGCCGCATTGGGGAGCTTTGAGGAGGGGGGCGGCGGCTTGGGCCGGCGCCGGCGCGACGCCACCCGCCGCCGAGGTCATCCGCGGCGGCATGAAGAGGCCGCGCGCGAGGCCGCTCGTCAGAGGAGCTCCGGCGGAGGCGAGGCCAACGCCACCCGGGCTAGGGTTTGTGGCGGCGGCGGCGGCGGAGGGGGGGGGGTCGCGGCTATAGGACGGGGTGAGCGGGGTGCCGGCGCGTGCGTCCATGGGTGCGGGTCGCCGGCGCCGGCGCGCGCGGGGCTTTGGAGGGGGAGAAGAAGAGCGCAGCGCGAGTGTCGTGTGTGCCGTGTGCGGAAGCGGGCGCCGCAAATACACCGCGCGAGGTACCGCTTCCTAGCGCGCGCCCAACTGCTTATACCGCGCGCGTGGTTATTGCGCGCCCGCTGGAGCCATCCGCCGGGTTGCGCGCGCGCTAAAACAGGGGATTTTACGGCGCGGCGCCTGTTTAGCGCGCCTGTTGGAGATGCTCTAAACAATATAGGAACCATGCACGTTGATGACTCCCTATCCTTCTTTTATCTTCTTCACCATGCAGATTGGAGATGCAAAGCACGTCAACCGGATGGTGAAGCACGCGTCTAGGGAGGTAGCCAACAAACCAGAGACCCCAGAGAGGCAAGGACATGCCCACAGTAGCGCGCACGGCGTGTGCGCCCGGGACGGCCAAGAGACCAGAAGCTGCACCCAGGAGATGGGTGCGCCCTTGGTGGCGGCCGACGGCGCCCTCACACACGCGCCCATGTAGAGGAAGCAGCGGCAGCGATGAGCGGTTCACGGCGGCGGAAGCTTGCCGGCGGCCCGAGACAACGCTGGCCGCGTCTGCAAGGCCGGGAAGTTGCGCCACCGCCACATGGCCGCTTCATGCAGACTTGTCCAAGCTAGCTCCACGGGAATCATCAATCATCATCCGGACGCATCTCATGCATACTCATGGGCATGCACGGAGCTCTTATTCTTAATTCATGGTTTATCTGTATATAAATATATCTCGTTCTCTCCGTCCCTAATCCTTCAGGTGACACGGAGGAAAGCAGCGAGAGGAGACCTCAAGGCCATCGGGAGATTGCACCCGGGAGAAACCGAGCCAAGAGGAGACGGGCCTGCGGTGGCAGCGTCGAGGACGAGATGACGCGTCGGCGGCAGCACGCACGCCGAGCACGGCGACCTCACACAAGCCAACACATGCCCAGTTGAAGATGCTCCCACGGCGGCGGCGGAGAGGAGGTCGCGAGACGCGCCCATGGCGAAGGCATGCTCACCGACCAGCCCACAAACCCTGGTCGTCTGGGATATACGGAGGAGCCCGCACACAGGCCCTAGCACTTTTGGTGCAAAGGCACCCAAGGCGTCCACGTGCGCCACCCATGGTGTCTTCTTCGACCGGCGTCTTCATCCATCTACACCACCACAACGACGTCGAAGCTGCAGACCTGCAGCCCAGCACCATCTACACCACCACCACGACATTGAAGCCGCCCGCTTACAGCCCGGCGCCATCTCCACCCTGCCAATATCAACATGCACCAAAGTTGAGTTCAATGACACATGGCGCCCAAGAGCTGAGCAGATGATGTTCATGTACACATGAAGAAGCAGCTTCAATGCGAATAAGGCGTTTCCTAACTGGTTGTGCGCGCAACGCCAATCACAACCGCTGCTCCAACATATGGATCCGGGCCATTTGCATGTGCATGCGGCATGCCCCTCTTCCTTTCTTTTCTTTCCTATAGACTGACACATGCATGGCTATAGTACACCTGCATGCCTAGGTTGTCTTTCCTCTCTTCAAAAACTTTGTTACTTTTAGTTGTCTTTTAACAGTTTAATCAAAATTTGTTTTTCAAACTTTATATATATTTGAACTCCTGACATCAAGTTCTTCAATTTTTGAACATATTTTTTTAACTGGAATTGAAATATGATTTTTTTAGAAGATTATCAGTGTTTTCAGTGAGGAACTTTGCTTGGCATAGTGAAGAACTTCTCATTTTCATTTGCAAAGTGATAAATAAACTGGACCAGGAGCTGAGAAACTTTACAAATAGGTTTTCTGCACTTTATTCGAAATATTAAAGAACTTCTCTAGAAAATGTATCTGGAACCGAAGAACTTTATGAACAACTTGTCTAAACTTTGATGAAATGTTTATGAAACTTTTTTAGAAATATATCAATATTAGACTTGTTTGGTAGAGCTAGCCATGAGAAACTCAAATACATAAACGAATTTAAATTTGCATAGTTTATTTAGAAGTTATGGTGATATATTAACTTTGCTAGCAAATATGGTGAAGTAGCCCACCACCGATGCCTTGTGTACCTTGTGTCAGATTTCTAGTATAGGACCTATTGATGTTGACATGCATGCATGGGACCAGCTGCATGTTGATTTAACGTCTAGGATGGATGGGTGGACTCGCGGCGGCGATGTAGCACGCGCCACAACAAAGCTCAAGATGGCAGCGACGAGGCACACCTGTGAAGACCGCAACAACACGACGAAAGTCCGCCGGTGAGCCAGGCGGAGCCTTCGTCCGTACACGCTGCCACGTACTACCTCAACACAGGCATCCCAAGGTGGCTCCCTATGACACCCCGAGTCGGACACTCGGACTACTTCCACCTGGCGAACATGTACAGTGGTGTACATGTTCAGTGCATCTACAGGTGAGCGGGCGATAGGAATCACGATCAAGATGGACGGATAATCAGAGTTCACCCATGTGCAACCGAAGTAGATGGAGGAGGAGTTGCCCACCGTCTTCACATCTTCATCAACCCCACCACTAGTGCCATCGACATCATCATCGGTCTCGACGGAGAAGCCAACTACACTGACATGCCACCATTCGACTACATCGACACGGCCTCGCAATCTCCATCATCTCTGCATCGGGCGAGGATGCCGTCAACATCGGCGCCACCGAACGTCCATATGATGTCGCCATCTTCTTCCACCTATCGCCTGGCGAGGACGCTGACTGCACCGGCATGTACTCATTCTTCTACACCAACCGTCTGCATTGAGCGGAGGTCGTCCCCATAACTGCGACGCCCCTAGGTCTACATCGACGAGCTCGTATTGTTGTCATATTCAAGTGACGCCACTACGTGGCGACACACAAGTCTACTCCGACTTCTACATCAACACCCTTCCCCAACATCGTCCAAGCTCCGACGAGGCGAAGCCACTTAACCGACATGTCTTCTTCCGATGAGGTTACCCACATCTTGCCGGGCACCGACGAGGCGAAGGCAAGCCACCAGGTTCGACACCGACGAGGCAGACACCACCAGGCCGGGAACCGACGAGGCGAAGGCCGCCCATCTGTCTGAGCTGAGGAGGCCAGACATCTCCATCATCGGACATCGACAAGCCGGAGGGATATGGCCAAACATCTCCGGAGCGACGGGAATACCGCTCCACCACTCTATTCCACAACATCATCACCATCGCCTACGCCGAGCACTTGGAGAAGACAAGACTTGAAGACGACAACCATTGTAGCAGCTTAATCGGAGGTGGTCCGCGACTTTGACTCGCGGACGTAATTAATCGGGAGCCTTCCGAGGCCCCGTGAACCAGAACTTCACAATCGCCCAAGCCATATCGGTCGTGCTAGCAGGCCATGGAGCGCTTATGTAAAGGGATCATGTAATTTGTTTCTCCGATGAGAGATTAATAAAGTACAAGTTTCCCTATGTTTTCTTTGTGTATTTAATACACTGGCACGCCCGCATATTTATTTCCTCTGGCGCGTAGAAAGATAATAACACGATAACCATCGTTGTTTGTTATTATTTTTCGTGTCAAACACTTATGTATAAACTATGCAACTCACGGCCACCCTCGGCTTATGTATAAACCCTGCAACATACGGTAGCACTCGGCTTATACAGACAGTGGCACATGGCCCTTAACACCCGGCTGTCGTCATGTTACTTTATTAAATCGAGAGCCTTATGGAAACACTCGTTTATACATAAGCCAGGTTCAGGCCCGACCCTGATGGGGGGGCAGGGGGGGCGGCCGCCCCGGGCCCCCGGAACAGAGGGGCCCCCCAAGTACGTGCAGTTATGTGATTATAAGCCTGCGTTTAGAGGGGGGGAAAATGAAATGTTGTGTGTGCTGCCGTGTTAGGTCAGGCCGAAATAACAGCTGGTTACCATAGCTGAACGTCCGGGATTCCAGCAATCCACCCTCATCATGCGTGCATGACGCTCATAGATGGCATGTGGATGCCTTTTCGCGTGATTAGTGTGATTGCCTTCTGTTTTCCCTTATCCCTCGATTGCCTCGCGACGCCATCGCCTTGGCTAACCGCATCGACTTTACCCTGCCCACGACATCATCACCTCGCGCCTCGTAGCGCCTACAGCCGATGCAGCCACTATCAACAGGCCAGGCGAACAACATCCAGGAGGCCACAGGGACGCCCAGTGGCAGTCGGCAGTCTCCTGCTGCCGGCGCGGCCATAGCATGAATCCAGCAGAGAAGGTATCCTGCAACCTTAATGATTTCTAGTTTATAGATCACGATTGTTTCTTCATTATTGCAACAGGACATTGATGATCATCAACTAATTGGACGCTGTTAAGTAGTGACATATTATTTGGCTCCATGCAATTTTAGTTTGTGAGTTTGACATTATAACTGGTAAGATTTTATTAATTGACTTAGTATTTTTTGTAGATTCCAGCTAGTTTTCAAATTACCAATTATTTCTTTAAATTTTGGCACCTTATGTCGCCTAGTAAAAGGCATTCATCCTGCAACTAAAATTACCGGGTCAGATTGATAATGATACAGCGGGGAATATAACAAGAAATTACTAAGATATATGCATAGGTAATTTGATATGAGTATTGCTTTTGAATGCAGTTGACATCTCATATATACATACATTGATTATTATTATGTTGTTTATACTAATGAAGGGCCCCGGGTTCTAGGTTCGCCCCGGGCCCCCGAAAACCCAGGACCGGCCCTGGCCAGGTTTTTTTGTCATGGCTCTCGGCTTATACCGTATAAGCCGGTTTACTATAAACCATGTCCTATAAGCCGGGAGTTTTACTCAGCTTATACATAAACTGAGTTTAAATCTGCACAAGCTGAGTGTATTAGGTATATGCCTTTTTTTTTTCTTGTAGTGCCATGCACCCACACGGCCATGCCTGCCCGCTACCTCCCATGTCTTCTTCGGCATCGCCATGTAGGAGAAGCCTCAAATAATCACCATAGTATAGCGTAGGTTTGACGTCTTTGTTCTAGGTTTGGTTGTGGTCGTTGTCGCGTTCGGATACAAAAATCATGCGGTGTTATTTTCAGGTTATGACGGCAAGCTGATGAACCCAATGTCTCGTTGATAAGAGATGTCCAGTCCCACGAGATGGTGTGCTCTTGAAGCTTTCTTCTTTGGATGTCTTAAGTCTGGGATTTATTCTATCTAGTCTATCATCCATCTTGTGCTATAGCATTTTGTGGTAGGCTTCTACTGCCGTATTCAATCGACATTGAACGCACCAGCTTGACAAGCATACCCGTAGGCAAAATAACTCGAGGGTCTTAGGAAGGAGATCAAGATGAAGGAAACACCACCAAAACCTAAGATGTTGCTCTAGTGTTCAATCAACTGTGAAATGGATAATTTGTAGTATCATCGATCAAGATGAAGGAAACACCACCAAACCCGTATTCATATTATTGCGATAATTTGTAGTATCATCGATATGGCTTTCCCCTATTTGATCTTTGTGTTCGTTGGTCATTCTTCTTATATGCGTGAGTAATGCCCATATGTGTGGGAGATGTAGGGGACTCATTTGTGCCTATTTTATATGTGATTGATTATTAAGGGTCCAAACAACATGATCTGAGAGCTACGCAGATAATACATGTTGTTCAGCGACTACCCGCTAGTACTTTGTAGGAGTAAGGGATAGGAAATCCATGATAGTAGTGCTTAGAAGATTAGGGCAAATATTATTCCCTGCAGAACGTGGAGGGTGTTGTGGTTTCATTGTTTTTTCTGATGGTTTTTTCATCGATTTTGTTTATACCGCATTTATGCTTTTTTGTGTGTTCTGATTCGTATTTTTGTCTATTTTTTGTTTCTGTATTTTTATACATTAACTTTTTATAATATGAGATGAGATAACCTTTTTAAAAAAATCAGTAGTTTTAAAAATTGGATTTATTTTTAAAAATTCATTCACATTTCCAAAAGTTGTAAATATTTATTTAAATAATCTCGAGTAATTTTAAATATTCCGTAATGAAGAACTTTTTAAAATTTTGTGTATATTGATTATAAGGAAGATTTTTGTAAATTTATGAATTTACTAAAATTCAATCATTTTAAAATTTTAAACCTTTTCCAAATTCATGAAAAAAGTTATCCATTATTTTCCTTTAGAAAATCTTGAACATTTTCTAAAATTTGGTGAACTTTCTTCATATATATATTTGTTTATTCAAATCTGTCTTTGTAAGAGGAATTTAAATCTGTCAAAAAATAGGCTCAATCCCGGAATGGCCCATGTGTGCGCTCTGTGCTATCCCTCGGAACGGGGCGAGCCGCACTGCCGC